CAATGTCAAAAATGAAATGGTGTTAGAGTGTAAATCTAATGGCTGGTATCCAGAGCCTCAGATGTTGTGGGTGTACAGTGAGGGAAAACCCATTTCTGTTGAACCTACAAAGAATGTCAGAGGTTCTGATGGCCTCTATGCTGTCAGCAGTAAAGTGACTGTGGAGAAAGGACAGAGCTACAGCTTCACCTGCAAAGTTCAACAGAAGAATATCAGTCAAATCAAAGAGACACACATCCATGTTTCAGGTAGAAATGCTTTTTTATCACTCACATTAATTTTCAGTTACAGAAAGTAGAATCTAGAACATTTTGTCTCCTTGTATTTCAGGTGATCTCTTCATGGTCCAGTCTAATACTGCTGTTCACATTATCATCAACTTGGCTGTCTGTTTAATAAGCGTCGGGACAGCAGTAATCCTAATATGGAAATGTGGACAAATGAAAACCAGTAAGTTCAAACTACATAGCACTTTTTACCCCAACCTCAAATTATCATCAGACCTTTTTAATGTCTTGTTTTAGTGTAACTGCCTTTTACAGTTAAATTTAGGGCTAAGAAGTACAAACGTGATTCAAATAAAAATGACACAAACACATAAACAGTTATGTTAAAGGTGCTCGAAGGAAAACAGTGGATGGAGATTGCAGAAATTATAGCGATTTACCAGCAAAATTGGAGGCTCTCATCAACTTTACTTTTATAAAGGAATATAACTCTGTGTCCTGTGTTGTAAAGAGATGTGTTAAGACATGCAGAGTTGGTCCCATCAGTGCAAACTGACTGAGATTGATTGCAATATCTTGACTCTCTGTTTGAATTTATAAACTAAGTGTTAATTATTGGCAAGTGATTGCCCGTCTGTCGAAGAGTAACTGGACTTACTAAGTCAGACTGTGTTTATTTGTTGCCAGTTTGCATCCCATTAGCAACCTATGCAATTGCCTTGTGATCAGAAGTGGAGTATAGAACACCATCAAACTATAGAAGACCAACTGGTTGCCACAACCATCTGCTGAATGTGTAGAAATTCCACACGAGGAAGTTGCCTTCCTATTGTTTTCCTCTAGTGTGACTGAGACATTTTGGGGGCAAAGGTAAAAATATTTGAGGAAATCACCCACTGTAAAATTATAGTTATAGCAACAATATAAATTAAAACTTTTTGTGTTTTATCCTTGTTGTAGGAATTGCAACCAAAATGTTCTCACTCGTTTACTCATATAAACAAAGCAGTGAAAGAAAATTAAATATGAAAATTAGATATGCATGAATAGATGTGATTTTGAATAAAATTGGCAAAACCTCTCTGATTCACATGTAGCAGTTTCAGTACATCTAATGTTATTTTAAATATCTTTCATTAGTGATTTCTGAACATCTATTTTCACTGAATTTTGAAATACATCTGAAAGTCAGTCCTTCTCAAAAGAAGACTTTGTTCTAGACTCTACGTTGTTGTAGGGTAGTAACCATAGTGTCTCTATAGTAATGCTTCAAATGTTTAATGTTTATTTCCATTTATATTTGATTACTGGTATAGTAAATTCCTGCAATTTTATCACACAGAAATCAGCAAACATGATGAGGACGAAAATGAACAACATCAAACAGAGATGGAGGAAAAATTACAGAGAGAATGTGAGGAAAAGAAAAGACTTGAAGATGAGTTGCAGAACAAGGAGGAAGACTTAAAACATGTCAGACAAACCATTGAACAACTGATGGAGCAGAAGACATCTCTGAAGAACCAGAGAGAAAAACTCATCACACTACTGCAGGAGGACAAGGCAGAGATGAAAGAGATCAGGAAAAAGTTGGAGAAAGCCGCAACTTTTGACAAAGAGAAAAAATTGCAGAAGCGTGAAGATAAAAAAATTGACCTGGAAAAGAGAACAGAAGCACATAAAGAACTGTTAAATATGACAGAAAAGCTAATGGAGGAAACGGAGAACATTATAATCCAAATGACAGAAAGAAAGGGAAAACTAGAAATAGACAAGGAACAAATGATTAAACACTTGAGAAAGAAACAGGAAGACATAGAAGAGATTAAGAAGAAACTGTCAGAGAAACAAGCGAGAAACACTGAACAGGTGTGTAAGTTTTTCTTGTATATATTTCTTGCTAAAGTCACACGTACAAACTGTTGTGTTGTGCCTTCAGTTGCGAACCTAAAACGTTTTGCTTTTTGCTTTTCTCCCTCAGCAAAGGACAGAGCAACACGACAAATAAAACATGGATTTTGCTGTTTTTTTTCTCTTGTTGTCATTTTACAATGTGATGCCTAATGTTTCTTTATTTTTTTGCTTTAAATTTATACTATATACATTTAAACAAGAAATGCAGTTTTACTGTATTTTATCACAGGAGATTTTGTTATGATAAAATGTATCAACATTTTTGTGATCCTTTAAATCTTTTGTCTGTGTGTAAGTAAGAATTACACTGTGAGAGGAAGAAGAAAATATGTCTGTATTGTCGTGAGACTTGGGGTAGAGTGAGATCGAAGTCCCCCCTGGCCGCCTCATCATCACAGCTAAGAGATATTGAAGGTCTTAATGTCAGACTTATGTGAGTAAAAGTGATCAAAGTTCTAAAACAGAGCTTTCATCTATTTCCTAATAATTAAGCATTTTATTCTTAATCAAGATAAATAAAATACAAATGTAATCAATATATTAATGA